TCAGAGTACAGGCAATTAAGGCTTTCGTCAGAAGAGAACCTGGCCTGCGCCCATTCTAGAGCTCTGCCAGTCAATTGGGACAAAATGAACGATATTTTCTTGTAGTCTGTAGGAAAACTACCAGGAGAGTTTTTGAATATCAGCCGGCATTGAAATAGGAATCCTTTACATTCACTTATGTTACCTGAAAACTTTTCAGGGAGACTGGGTCGAAACTCAGACGATGATGTCACCGCCGGTGACCTCGGGGGAGGAACTGGACCCGGAAATGGTTGTTCAGGCGGCATGGCGTTAGCATAGCTCAATCTGTTAGAGAGGCTTTGAATCTCTTGATTTTGATACAGAACCATTCTGTGTAACTCAGGTAGGGTTTGGGTTTGTCCCATAATCTGGGCATCTTGTTCCTCCAACCGACGATGAAGTTGGTCTGCTGGGCCTTGTGTTTGGCCGCAGTGTTCTGTCATGATGGGTCAGAGAGGCCCAAGGATGCAGAACACCACAGAGGCAGAAACAGGGGTAAAAGTTATAATAGAGTTTATTGATGAATGCACAATGAATAATGAACTGGTACTGGATCACATCTGGGGTTCTGGTACTCAGGTAACTGGAAGGGAGACAGTTCAGTTAGCCACGTAGCTGAGGAAGGTTGGGATGAGTTTGTTCAGAGATCTACCTTGTAGAATCCGGGTTAGGTCTTTGAGAGAGGCACTGTGGGTCCAGAGACTGTTTGGATCAGCAGAGTTCGGTTTCAGCTTCAGCGTCTTGCATCTAGTTATAGGACAGAACTTGGTTCTCCAGCTCTTAGTCCAGAGCTGCGTTGGAATCCAGGAGGAGTCTTCAGGTTTGGCTCAGAGGGCGGTTTAGACAGGTTTAGCTCATCCAGAGCTTACAGGACAAAAACAGGTTTCCTGTAGGCAGAGACAAAAAGGGGAATTAGAATCCACTAGGAGACAAGAAGCAATCAAAGTAATCACAGAGGTAGTGAGGCTCGGGTGCTAACCAAACAGGATAAAACACTGCGGCGTTGATGCGAGGTCTGAGGGCTGCTTATATGGTGGAGGATCCTCCTGATGATGAGATGGGCTTCAGGTGTGTCGAAGGCTCCACTCAGGAGGATCCACAGCGAACTCTGCTGGAGGCAGGCGGTACAGCTCCAGATCCCAACACAATCAAAGGCACTTTCAGACTCATTCTCTTTATGATAGAATAACCTCTACTCCACTGTCAGATTAAGGCTCTTAAACATTATTTTATTCCATGATTGCCCAGGATCTAGCTGCAGCCATCCTACCCATAGACTTCCCCGTCTCTGCTCAACTAAAGTATATCCACAAAATGATGCTTCCACCATCACGTTGCATTGTTTAAGTATGAGGTTTTGACAGTGATGTTTTAGTTTTTGCACCACTGAGCAAAATAACAGATTCAGGGAAATTACTCTCCAAATAGATTAAGACGTAGATCAAAGTGGTAAGCTGTGAGACTGAGTAACAAGCTTTCACAAAGAAGGTCATGGGCCAAAATGTGTTGGGAGCTGGAGAAATCCCATCTTTCTCCAGCAGAGTCCGCCGTGGATCCTCTGAGGGAGCCTCCTGCACAGCTGCAGCTCGTCAAAGATCATCAGAGGATCCACTATATAAGCTATCTTCAGACCTTGCCTCAACGCCGCAGTGTTGTTCCAGTTGGTCAGCGCAAAAGCCTAGATCCTCAGTGTATCTCCATGACTTTGAATCCAGTCTGGATTCTAACTACTGTCTCTGTTTTCCAGGAAACCCGTGCCTCCTCTGTGAGATCTCTGGAAGAGCTAACCTGCCGAGCCGACCCTCTGAGCCAAACCCTGAAGATTCACAGAGAACCCCCAAGCAGCTCAGGACTAGAGCTGGGAAATCTAAGCCAAGGTCTGTTCAAGCTAAGACGTGAGACGCTGAAGCAGCAAACGGACTCTGCTGACAAACCCTTCTCCAGAACCAACAGTGACTCTCCCAAGGTTAACCTGAAGAACCCTCAAGGTACAATCAGTGAACCAGTGGAAATCAAACCCTGTCAGCAGTCACTAACTGTGCTGTCTCTCACGCAGACTCCGGTGAACCAGTTCCCAGGCCCGAACCAGAATCAGTACATTCTGTGTGTTTTGTGCTTTAATAAACTGTTCAACTTTTCATCCTTGTGTCCGTCAGTGGTGTTCTGCATAACTGGGTCTCCTTCAGTGAACCCATCATGACAGAACACTGCGGCCAAACTCAAGGCCCAGCAGAACATCTCCGTCAACTATTGGAGGAACGGGATGCCCAAATCCACAGACAAGTTCAAGCTCTGAGTGAGTTAAACTCCCGTATAGAATTCCAAGACCATGTTGTCCGAAACTTCACCAGTCGTTTAAACAATGCTAACGCTACACCAGTTCCACAACCATTTCCGGGTCCCATTCCACCTCCGAGGTCACCGGCAGTGACGTCATCTGAGTTCCGCCCTAGTCTTCCAGAAAGATTTTCTGGTAACATGAAAGAATGCAAAGGATTTTTATTTCAATGTCGGTTGATCTTTCAGAACTCCCCTGGCTGTTTTTCCACGGATCACAAGAAGATAACTTTCATTCCCTCTCAGTTAACAGGAAGAGCCTTGGAATGGGCTCAGGCAAGATTTGCCGCTGACGACAGTTTAAATTGCTATTACTCTGATTTCATTGCTGAATTTACCCAGGTCTTCAACCAAGAAACTGACCAAACAATTGATTCTAGAGCTCTTTTCAACCTTAAACAGGGAAATTCTTCGGCTGAATTTTCAATTAACTTCCGGGTTAAGGCGGCAGCTTCCGGATGGAACCAAAGCGCCTTGAAAGGAGCCTTTTTCATGGCATTGAACGAGCAGATTAAAGATGAACTCGCAACCCTCGATGAACCTGCCACCCTCGAAGATCTAATTCGCCTCTCCATCAGATTAGATAATAGAATTCGAGCCAGAAACAGTTTTAAGAAGCAGAGTACATTTTCTTCTGCCTCACATAACGTGACTGTTTGTTCTCCCTCTACAGAGCAGTTGCCCACTCAGAGGTCTAAGCCCCAGTCTCTACCGTTGCCTGTTCAGGCCTCTCATTCGGGCGAAAGGGATGTCGAACCCATGCAGGTGGGACACACCAGGCTCACTCCAGAGGAGAGACAGAGGCGTTTTCTTAGCAAACTATGTATCTACTGTGGTGAGAGTGGACACTTCATCGCCTCCTGCCCGGCTAAATCAAAAGCTGGGGCCCGCCAGAGGATCTGAGGAGTCTGGCGGGCCAAATAAACACGAAGAAATCTCCTCGACTGTTACTGCCTGCCACGCTTTTTTGTGATAATCAAAGCCTCTCTTTCTCTGCTTTCGTCGACTCAGGCTGTGAACGTAACCTAATCGACCCTAACCTCGTCCAGCAACTCCAGATTAAAACCATTCCTCTCTCTCAGCCTCTCTGTGTATCCGCTATTGACGGGAAAAGACTCCATCGAGTTACCCACCAAACCCAGCCCCTCGAGCTACTTCTGTCAGGTAACTATCGAGAGACAATAACATTTTTTGTTTTTCCCTCTGCATGTTCCCCGCTGGTTCTCGGGTTTGAATGGTTGGAGAAGCATAACCCTCACATTAACTGGACTAAACGTCATCTGGAATCATGGTCCACTACGTGCCACGAAACATGCCTTCGTTCTGCTGCCCCCGTGTTGGGGTCTCCTAGAGGTGGGGGGGAGATGGACTCTCCTGACCTTTCTTCAGTCCCCTCTGAGTACCATGACTTAGCCCCTGTCTTCAGTAAGGTCAGTGCGACGTCCCTACCTCCACACAGACCATACGATTGTGCCATAGAACTTTTACCTGGTGCTCCTCTTCCTAGCAGCAGACTGTATAACATTCCCAAGCCCGAAAGAGAAACTATGGAAAAATACATCAACGAATCATTAGCTGCTGGAATAATTCGTCCTTCATCCTCTCCATTGGGCGCCGGGTTCTTCTTCGTGGGGAAGAAGGATGGTTCCCTGAGGCCTTGTATAGACTATCTAGGTTTGAACCAGATTACAATCAAAAACAAATACCCACTGCCTCTTCTCGCCTCTGCCTTTGAACCAGTACAGGGTGCAACAGTGTTTTCCAAACTGGATTTATGAAACGCTTATCATCTCCTCAGGATCCGTGAGGGCGATGAATGGAAAACTGCCTTCAAGACACCCTTGGGCCAATTCGAATACCTAGTGATGCCCTTTGGTCTAACTAACGCCCCAGCCTGCTTCCAGGCTCTAGTAAATGATGTTCTCAGAGACTTTCTCAACGTGTTTGTTTTCGTGTACATTGATGACATTCTCATTTACTCCAAGAACCTCGATGAACACAAGAAACATGTCCGTCTTGTCTTACAGAGACTTCTGGAGAATAAGCTGTTCGTGAAAGCCGAGAAGTGCAAATTTCATCAACCTTCTGTCACCTTTTTGGGGTTTGTGCTAGAGAGCGGCCAGGTAAAACCTTCAGAGGACAAGATCAAGGCGGTCTTAGACTGGCCAGTTCCTGAGAACCGAAAACAACTTCAGAGGTTTTTAGGATTCGCAAACTTCTATCGTCGGTTCATTAGAAACTACAGCCAGACTGCCCTTCCTCTAACCTCCCTGACCTCTGTTAAACGCACATTTCAGTGGACTCCTGAGGCTCAAGCAGCATTTGAAAAATTAAAATCATTGTTTTCCAGAGCACCTGTCCTTATTCAACCTGATCCTGCGAAGCAGTTTATCCTACACTCAAAAAAAGCAAACTGGGTGTCTGTTACCTTATCTTATGTCTAACATGTAGCTTCTACTATATAAAATCATGTTTTGTGGTTGAACAGTTTTAAATCATGTAGATTTAGCATAAAATGCAACAACTTAAAATTTACTTGAATAATTTATGTTAAAACAACCTAATTCTAATGGGTTAAGATTGCAAATCAATAACACTCCAAAGCAGTAGGTGGCAGTAATGAGCACCTTCCCCTCTCTTGAAGGCCACGGTCAAAGGTGAGTGAGTCCCCGACTCTGGCTGGCAGAAGGAGTAGACATTTTGAAAAGAAATTTCAAGTGTGGAAGAAGGTAAGTTTAATCTTTTATCATCCATCGAACAGAAAACAATACGGCAGCAGACATGTTATAGACAGTTAGTTATTGTCCTCTTTTGCATTTTGGATTATTTATTTGTTACTGGGCGTTTTATTAGAGTGCATTAATATATCACACTGTCGCCATGCTCATAGCTAACTAAGCTTACAAGCTAGCATCCTGAGGTCGACGGCATGGTTGACAACGCGTGCGGATTCATTTACAAAATGAGCTAAGAGCTGATGCAGGCATGGCTGGTGGGGGATAATTGCCTGCGTTTGGTGAATGTAGCTGCAGCTAAAAGGCTCCAGTCACATAGGCTACATTAATAATAATAGTGGTGATGAATTTCCCCCCAATCCGAATCTTGGCTTCACGTGGAGTCCGCAGAAAGCTCGGCACTTAACAGTCATTAGCTCTAAGTTTGGAAACTACCACGGCATCTCGGCACCTTGGCGGGGTTTCTATGTCAACTCCACGTAGCATTAGCTCATCCAGCTACTAACATCAACACAGTAGTTCTTCGCACTATGGAGCTTTCCACAGTCAGATTTTATTCACTTTGTTGACGAGGGAACAAATGTGTGCTACCATAAATGTACTGTTGTGCTGTAGCCCAGCTAGGAAAGCAAATCGTTACCATATTTCAAATGAAAAAGCATTTTCAGAAATGCTTTTTCATTTTAAGAATGTGGCTGCATTGTTTGACTCATAAATGAAATTAGTAATCAATCATCCTGTTTGCATTTTAAATTTCTTCTTTAATGCTTCTCATCATTTTACTTAATTAAAATAAAAAATAAAAATACATTTGAGATTTATTTTTTGAAAATGTACCCCAGAAAATACATACCAAAAATTAATTTGAAATGTAAATTTTGAAAATGAAAAAGTATTTTCAGAAATGCTTTTTCATTTTAGGAATGTGATTGCATTGTTTGCCTCATAAATTAAATTAGTAATTAATCATCCTATTTGCATCTTGAATAAATGCACAGCACTATTTAACTTTGATTGAAATATGTACAGTGTGATTTATATCAGCCAACAAAATGTGGGCTAGCCTTGGAAATAACTTGTAAGCTGATTTAGGATTTGGTGGTAGATGACAATTGTTAGTCGGTCATTTCAATGCTATGATAGTTAAATTTACTTTTGTGTACCCTTTCTGTTTAAGCTAACTGCTGAATTTAAGAGGATTACAACCATCAGTTTGCTGTCAAAGTTCTTCTCCCAGGTGGATGCTCATTCTTCAAACTTGATGAGGGTGTTTGGCAAGAAAGGCGGCGTTCAAGGAAGAAAGATAAGGAGCATCATGATACCCATCACCAAGGTATGATAATAGAATAAAATAGAAATTGTCAAACCTGTACCGATTCAATATTCTAAACTTAATGCTTGAAATTTAAAGCGGAAGTTTCAGAGGGATGGAGAGAAATAAAACTAGATGGAGAGGGGTGTAATGTACTTTTATGAAGAAGGATCTGATAAAATTTTAACCTTGGGCAGATGTGACAATGTCCACTGATGTTGCAATGGTAGGTTCTGTTTCCTGGGACCACATGCTTACATTTGACATATTTCTATGATAAAATGTCTTGCTGGTACATAAAACCAATGCACCCATGGATATTGTAAGTTCATATATCATAAAAATTGTCAATGATTTTTACATTTTGAAGAATGTATTATTTAAGGTTTTGTTTGTAAAATCTTCTACCAGTTGATTAAAATGTTTTATCTTTAATTTATTGTCCTACATACTCAGACTGACGCCATTGATGTCAAAAGAGAGTGAATCATCAAAGCCCTGTGTGTGTACCTGAATGAAGAGCCCGAGAACCTTGTGAAAGAATACATGGTATGTAATTTAGTGTGTTTAAAAATGGGACCAGTATAACATATCTTTACATGTATATCCTCTATTTCCCCCTTTTTTCTGTGAAGAACACAGATTGTGGGAGCAGTGAAGCTGCAGTGATGGAGACGACATTTGGAATATTTGTCATTCGCAAGGAAGGTGCAGAGCCAGGTGATGGACCGGAAGATGTAGGTATAGTTCTGGATGGGCTCGGAAACGTGCCACTTGCTGTGGTCATGTTGTTTGCGCTTGTATATGCGCTTAACCTCAGCTACCCGCCAGAGCTCAGATACACCTTTGAAGCTTTGCAGAAGATCATCGTGGAGCTTGATGGAAACATACTCTCAAAAAAAACTCAAACACTGAAAACTCTACTTGCGTGTTAGTCACCCTCAATAGAGTAAACTACAGGTTTGGAGTTACTCTAATGGGAAGGCATTTGAAGCCATTTGAGTAGTTACTGAACTGAAAGCTGTGTTTGTGTTTTAATACATCCTGTTGCTATTTTGGGTTTACAAAATAGAATGTTTTGAAATGTTTCTTTATGCAAAGGTAAGGTTTTAAAACAAATTGTTATTTTCTAAAGAAAACTATTTTGATATGGATGCATTATGCTGTATTTTGGTTGTTCTCAAATATTGGTCTTTGCACTCAGTTGACAGGACCACTTTCTGCGTATAACTTTGTAAAGGGCTTTGCTGAAAGCTCTAAATATAGACACCTAATGACAGGGGGCTCCAATTTCCTAACTCAGGAGTTACAACTTTTGTTTGTCTATCTGTTGTAGTTTTTTTTACAGACATGATGTTGGACACTGTTTCAGGCTGTATTGTTTGTTGTATTTTCACAACGTAGTCATTTTTAAAGTAAAGTGATTTCAACAAATCCAATTTAGTTCATGTTTTTCTTTTCCAAACTTGACACCAGCTGGGGGTATATAGGCTGACATGTACATTTTAAATAGCTGAATATGTATACGTTAAAAATGATTTATTTTGTGAATAATTACTTATGTTCATTTTCATATGATAAAGTTAATCTCTTACCTAACTTTGTTTTGTGGGCTCAGCACAATAAATTCATGTACTGTACTATTTTGAAAAGTAGTTGTAACTACCCTATTAAATTATGTACCTAATAATCCTATCATACAAGTTTAAATGGCTTAAGAAAATTATGTTAGTATGTTACATTTACCTATATTTATCTAGTTGGACTGACCCCTGGTAATTAAGTAATAGTAATGCAAATACAACACGTTGACCCAACATATTTACCCTTTGTTCACTTAACAAAATTGCTTTTCGCTAAATTAATGCATTTTATTTAGGTGGAAATTATTTCCATAATTTTATTACGTTCTGGGAACAAGTTTTTTTTTTGAGTGTAGAGGTGGATGCTTCAGATTCCGGTGTTGGAGCTGTCCTATCCCAAAGGCTCGACTCAGACCAGAAAATACACCCTTGTGCTTTCTTCTCCCATAGGCTCTCTTCCGCTGAACAAAACTATGATGTGGGTGACCGAGAGCTCCTGGCTATCAAACTGGCGTTGGAAGAATGGAGGCATTGGCTGGAGGGAGCTGAGCACCCGGTTCTTGTGTGGACCGACCATAAGAACCTGGCTTACATCCAGTCAACAAAACAAGCTAATCCTCGCCAATCCAGGTGGTCAATCTTCTTCTCTCGTTTCAACCTAATCATCTCCTACAGACCCGGATCCAAGAACGTGAAGCCCGATTCTCTCTCTCGTCTCTTCTCCGTCGATCATCCCGAGACTCCTGAACCTGTTCTTCCGGCTTCCTGTACCGTAGGGGTGGTCAACTGGGAAATAACTGACCTCATCAACTCAGCTCTGGCCACTGAACCCGATCCAGGTAACGGTCCCTCTAATCGTACCTATGTCCCATCTTCCGTCAGGTCCCGTCTCATCCAGTGGATGCATGCCGCCAAATTCTCTGCTCATCCAGGAGTCAGTAGAACCATAGCTCTCATCTCCAGACGCTTCTGGTGGCCCACTCTCCACAGGGACGTAAAGGAGTATGTATTGGCTTGCCCCACATGTGCCCGTAACAAAGCCTCACACCAACCTCCTTCTGGCCTGCTTCAACCACTTCCTGTTCCCTCGCGTCCATGGTCCCATATCGCCATTGATTTTGTCACCGGTCTCCCTGTCTCCCGAGGTATGTCCACTATACTCACCATTGTTGACCGCTTCTCGAAGTCCTGCCACCTTGTTCCCCTCAGAAAGCTTCCCACGGCCTTCCAGACTGCTCAACTTCTAATTAAACATGTTTTCCGGCTTCATGGCATCCCCCAAGAGATCCTCTCGGACAGAGGTCCTCAATTCATCTCCCAGGTATGGAAGACTTTTTGCTCTGCTCTCGGCTGCAAACCCTCTCTCACCTCAGGTTACCACCCCCAATCGAATGGTCAAACAGAACGCATGAACCAACAGTTGGAATCCACCCTCCGCTGCCTCACGTCAAATAACCCCGTGGACTGGAGCCAATTTCTTCCATGGATTGAATAAGCCCACAACTCCCTCCGTTGTGCATCCACTGGACAATCCCCATTCCAGGTCAGTCTCGGGTATCAACCGACTCTTTTCCCCGCAGATGAGAGAGAGATATCGGTGCTGTCCGTCAATCATCACATCCGTCGTTGTCAGAGGATCTGGAGGGAAACCATCGCCACACTTAACCAGTCTTCAGCATCTGCAAAACGTTTCGCCGACGCCAAGAGACGTCCCGCCCCCGAGTACTCTGAGGGCCAGGAGGTATGGCTCTCCACTCGAGACATCCCCCTCAAGGGGATGTCTCGAAAACTCTCCCCGAGATTCATCGGACCATACCGGATCACTCGAGTTATCATCCCCTCAGCTGTCCATCTCCAGTTACCTCAGTCCCTCCGGATCCACCCCACTTTCCACGTGTCCCAGATCAAGCCTGTTTCCTCGAGCCCTCTGTGCCCACCGTCCGACTCCCCACCACCCGCCCTGGAGGTCGATGGCCATCCGGCCTTCACAGTGCGCCGCATTGTGGACTCCCGTCAACGAGGTCGCGGATGGCAGTACCTTGTCGACTGGGAGGGCTACGGACCGGAGGATCGCCAGTGGGTCCCAGGCTCGTACATCCTCGATCCTGCACTCATCGAGGAGTACGAGCGTTCCTGCCCATCTACCTCTTCCGGACCGCCAAGGGGCGGTCGTTGAGGGGGGGGTACTGTTGGGAGCTGGAGAAATCCCATCTTTCTCCAGCAGAGTCCGCCGTGGATCCTCTGAGGGAGCCTCCTGCACAGCTGCAGCCGTCAAAGATCATCAGAGGATCCACTATATAAGCTGTCTTCAGACCTTGCCTCAACGCCGCAGTGTTGTTCCAGTTGGTCAGCGCAAAAGCCTAGATCCTCAGTGTATCTCCATGACTTTGAATCCAGTCTGGATTCTAACTACTGTCTCTGTTTTCCAGGAAACCCGTGCCTCTTCTGTGAGATCTCTGGAAGAGCTAACCTGCCGAGCCGACCCTCTGAGCCGAACCCTGAAGATTCACAGAGAACCCCCAAGCAGCTCAGGACTAGAGCTGGGAAATCTAAGCCAAGGTCTGTTCAAGCTAAGACGTGAGACGCTGAAGCAGCAAACGGACTCTGCTGACAAACCCTTCTCCAGAACCAACAGTGACTCTCCCAAGGTTAACCTGAAGAACCCTCAAGGTACAATCAGTGAACCAGTGGAAATCAAACCCTGTCAGCAGTCACTAACTGTGCTGTCTCTCACGCAGACTCCGGTGAACCAGTTCCCAGGCCCGAACCAGAATCAGTACATTCTGTGTGTTTTGTGCTTTAATAAACTGTTCAACTTTTCATCCTTGTGTCCGTCAGTGGTGTTCTGCATAACTGGGTCTCCTTCAGTGAACCCATCATGACAAAATGTGGATTCACCACCTGAGTTAAGAATCCACTAACTGCAGGACTTCCATGGCTAAGGTCACTTGGTTAATCAATCTCACAATTCAAATTTCAACACTGAGCTAAAATCAAGTGCATTGGTAGGACAAGCAATTCCAGCCTGAAAAGAAAGCATGATGTAACATCACAAACTGACAAAAATCCTCCCAGAGTAGTGGTCTCAAACCACAGTCCCTGAGGGATTGTCTCAATACAGTCAACTCTAACATTAGGTTATTAGCCAGTGACGTGCGGTGAGGTTCATAGCTGGTGAGGCACTGACGTCATCAGAATCAGATTTGCAAATAGATGCATAGATTGACAGCAGTTTACAGGTTATGTTTCACTTCTGCATCCTTACACATACAAACTGTAGCTCACAAAACACACATTTCCTTAAAAAACAAAACAAAATAAATGTTATTACTGTCTTACCTTTACTTATAAATGAATAGAAGTCCTCCTTATCTTCCTTCAGTTTTAAAAGTCTCTCTGTCTCAATGGAGATCACTGCCAGGGAAGAAAGCCTTCCTTGATCCGTCCTGTTCCTGCCTTATGTTTTCAGTCTCTTGAGCACCCCCTGCCATGAGGCAAGAGAACTGCCTGCCTCACCTCGAACTTGTTCTCTGCCGTTTATAATCGCTCATTACACGAAACACGTTACACAAACACAGTTGGTGACAAAAAGCTCTGTACATTATATACATAAGCCAAATTATTAGAAATAAGTTCACATATTACATTTGTTTAAACCATTTTATTGACGCCGTACAGCAACATGCTCTCTCCGCTTTGCAGCCAGCGCAGAGCCAGGGGTTGCGCAATCCAAGGTGAGGCAGAGCTCGCTGCTGCCTCACCGGCATCGCTTCCAAGCATTTGAATGGGAAAATAAGAAAATTCAGCGATTTTGAACAAATAAAAATCGAAATTGGTGAAGCTACATGAAAAATGAATATTTTTTAGTACAAACCACCGGATGAATATAACAATTTAAATTACTTTATGATTATATATTTTCTTTCTTTCCATGATGGCTGGTGAGGCACTGCCTCACCTGCCTCCCCTGACCGCACGTCACTGTTATTAGCAGAGCTCTGTTGAGCTTGACTGGTGCTAGAGAGGCATTATGCCATTTATGTGTGGTATGAAGGAAAGGGGACACATCTAAAAGTTGTAGGGAACCGGCCCCCCAGGTACTGAGTCTGGGACTACTGTACTGGACTGTGCCGTAAACCTGCCTTATATATGCAATGCTGAAACGACAATGTATGGAGAGATACATAGTGAGAATACACAACTGCTGTATCCACCAGGAAATTCTCAAGAGAATTTTACACAACAAAAAACGTTCTATAGATAGATCCCTATGGCATTTTTTTAACACCTCTAAAAGACTCTCAGAGTCCCTTAGTGCTGACCTCAACACATGGGAAGCTTTTACAGTAAAAGTATTTCTGATTTCTGACTGTTTTTAATGGAATACTTTTGTACAATAACATGATTGTTTACCCATTCACTGGTATTTTATTTGTGCAT